TGGCTGTAAACCGCCAGTCGCAGAGTAACTGACTCTGACTCTGACCCAGATGGTTGAGAGTGTTTTTCTATAAGGGAAGCTGAGAAGAGATGGCGCTGTAATTAATTTAATAGTTCATTTGTGAGATATTCGCCGGACAGTAATAACGTGAGGAAAGAAGCTGAAAAGTCTCCACTGTTAAAAGCTGTTACCAAGCAACAACTAGTGAAGACACTCCAGGCTGTAGAAGACTTAGCATGTAGTGATTTTTGAAGTGTGGAAATCAGCGCTAGCATTGTAAATGCTTGTACAGTTCAGAGTGGTGTATATAAGTAGATGGCCAATAAATCCATTCACCGATCCATACCCTGTCTACATTCACCCATACTCAAATGAGGTAACAACGACTAAGCTTACAGCATCTCGAAGAAACCTGAGGATCTGAAGTAACTCAAAGTATAATCTGTAATTTGTACATTACATTTGTAATTTGTACAACTCTTCTCAGAATGATGTCTTTCATGTCAGACTTCCAAATCAATATTAACCTGAAATATACAGCCAAGTTTGCAGCGCTATCATTACGTAACACCAAAGTCTGCCAAGTATCACGATTCAAAATGTGTTTCACATAAGGAGACTTAAGAACTATTCGAAAAGAAGTCTCCGGTGAGCTGTTAACTAAACGAGCAATGAGAATAGATGTATTATATTCAATAAATACGTACATACTTACGTTATTTTTCAACGTAGTCACTGCCGGAATTGAGAAACTTCTTGTATTGGGGAATAAGTTTTTGTACTCCTGTTTCAAAGAAGTGAGCTCAGCCCACATTTTGACAACTTCTTTCTATCCCTCATTATTGCTGAAGCGTTGTGACCACAACCAGTTCTTTGAGTAGGCAAACAGGTGGTAGTCGCCCAAAGAGAGATCAGGGCTGTAAGGAAGGTGGTCATATAATTCCCAGTTGAAATGCTCCAGCAGTGCTCGAGTGCCAGCAACTGTATTCAGATGTGCATTGCCATGGAGGAGCAATACACCGGGTGACAGCATTCCATGCCTTTTGTTCTGAATGGCCCTACACAGTCCTTTTAGCGTTTCAAAATACACTTCTTAAGGTATTGTGGTCCCTTGTTGCATGAATTCAACCATCCGCACTCTTTTCCTCTCACAGAAAAGGGCTGCCATCAGCTTTCTAACAGACACATTTTTTTTAATCGTTTGGCTCATTTAGTGAATGTGTGTGTGCATCCAGTACTTTGACTGTTCTTTGGTTTCAGCGTTCATAAATGGTACATACATTTCATCACTTGTTACTCTTACGATGATTGAGAAATCCGTCGCCATCTTTGTTTTATCGCTTAAAAACTGTCATTGCCTAAGGTAGCCATTCTCTGCATTTTGTGCGCACCCGTGAACATTATCATTACCTATCTTGAGCAAAACTTGTGATAGCCTACCCTATCTACGATAATCTCGTAGAGAAGAGTGCGTGAAATTTGAGGAAATTTACACGAATTTTTGATGGGCCGTCTTTCGCAAATTTTTTGGCCCACACTTTGAACATGATCATCACTCACTATAAATGAGGAACCACTTTGCTCTTCATCGTCAACATCTGTTCGAAGGCGTGGGTCGTCTCCGGTCGTCTGAGCAGACGCATAAGAACAACTACGGGATCTATCGAGAAAACTGTGTAAGATTGGCGCCAACCCCATGCAATCAATTAATAGTGTGGTTGTAGATGTCTGTACCGTTTGTACAGTTCGTTCTGCCTCTCTCAGTTCCGTGATAGCATGGAGGAGCATCATTCAGCCGACTTTTCACTGGTATCTCTGATTACATGCACTAGTTAAAACACCCACAGATTAGCCCTAGCGAATTTGTGTTTGGCTTGATATGCATACGAAAGGATGCCTTCTTACCGACACAGCTCTGGGCACTGACGTCGGCTATCTTATGTCAATAGGTGAATATAGAGGGTAGGATTGTGTTGTGGTGACGTAATTGGCGTCAGGGGGTTAGCAGCTGAGATTCCACGGGATACCAATCTGAATCATATTAGTTGCCGTTTGTTACGCAATTAGCTTGCAGGAGCGAAGGAAAGTGGTGGTGCGATGTTTGTAGTAAAAGAGATTCAAGATTTGAGAAACTCAGGAGGAAAGAAGGTATATATTACTTACTCTGTCTTGCATTGTGTATTGGGATGCCACTTTTAGTGCATGTATTCTGTTGTTTGGAGCCCCGTGTGTAATGAGTCCATAAACCACATATTAAACTTAAAAATGTCAGTTTTGACGATTATTTGGAGGATAAACAACGAATAATTTCAACTTTCATAATCGTTAGGGTGGTAATTAACAATACGACCTACTTAGCGGAAATATACTTCGTTGTTGGGCACCAAAATTTTGAATGCCCTGATACTCGTAACGGTTTCCATCCCAGGCCCACAGACATATCACGAGTTGATCATTCACAAAATGTAAAACGTCAGGCTGTCTTTGAACGACACCTTCTTACAGCCTAGAAGGCACACTGTTTCAGAGTCCTCATATCGAACATGGTTCAAGTGTTTTAACATATTTTCATTGTTGATTCTCATACACGACCTACTGGTGCATAAGATGAGCTGTGACGTTTTCGTCCATTTTAAGGAAGAAAAATCTTCGGAATCCAGAAATATAACAGTTTGTTTGCCGTGAAGCAGATCAACCTCAGAGTGCTGCAGTTTCTGACTTTTCATAAAATAATCATATGTGGCATTTTAATTTTTCAGAGATGAACATAGATACGTTATGATGATAGCACCTTTTTAAGTGTACTCTCTTGAAATGACGTATTTTTGCCAATTAGCTGCGTCGCGACAGAAATCTTTTTTTTTTTTAGAAAGTGGTATGACCGTGGTCTTTGAATATGATGGATCTAATGAGTGTGGACCTTTAGTGACTTGTTCATTGACCTTACCATTTATAAGTAATGTATGTTGTTTGACTGTTTTCCTTCAATTGAATTAGTTGAGTGGATGAGGCAGTGCTTTGAAGCTGTCTTGTGATCTGGTGAGGCTAATTTTTAGAGGCCAGGGCTTAGTTATGTGCAAGTCAGAATTATCTGTGGGTCTTTCTGGCACCGCATGAAGTCATGAGGTTGAAGCTGTTTAGAATTGTGAAGTCTAAGAGGGTCAGTTCCACGTTTGGTGGTGTATCGAGCGATTGTGTGTATTTCTGTCCATATGTTCAATATTCCCATTAGTTGCTATTTTATGATAGTCACAAAAAGAGAGCCTGAAAATGAAAGAGTTTGTGGACCTCTGTCACTGACAGAATGTTTTGTTTCTTTTCCTCCAGATGGAGCCATCACAAGAGGGAAGGCCAGCTTGTGGAAACAATATAAAGCGGCCTCCCAATGCATATATTTTATTTGCTAAAGAGTGGAGAAAGAAGATTGCTGCTCTGTATACTACAGAAAGAAGCACGGACATCAGCATAAGGTAAGCGGTAACTTTCACTACTGATAAGATTATTAGGCGGCAGGATAGCTGAATCAGTATAGTGCTGGGCTTTGGGCTGGATATCCGGGGTTCAATTGTGGGCAGGGATGACAGATTTTTCTCTAGTTGAAAGCATCCTGACTGGCTCTGAGGCCCACCAGTGTCTCCTGTGCAGTGGGTACTGGGCACTATTTCCCCAGGAGGCAAAGCTGCCAGAGCATGAAGCTGACCGGCCACTCGCCCCTATCCAGTGCCAAGGTCAACAATTGTGGAACAATCCCTCCACTCCCCCATATGTTTTCATGGCATTATCTCTTAATTAAGCAGGTACAGGGACAACTTTATCTTTATTATAAATTATTTGGGTGATAAGAAATTAATGTATTTTTGAAATGGTTCCAGATGCAAAGAATTTTTAAACAGCAAGGAAAGTGATTAACTGAAATCCGCTGTTAATCCATGTCAGTAGCTCGTTGAATCTTCCAAGAATAACTTGCAGGAGAGTAACTTTGATGCAAATTATATCAGGTCAAGTAAGAGTGGAGGCGCTGTATTCCATGATATAGTGCACAAAATTTCAAATGGCACTTCTTCTATTTTATTAAAATTACTTAAGTTTTTTATATAATATTAGATTAGCAGCTGGTGATACACATGAAACAATTCCATATATGACCATAAATGAACTTTATTATGGGATTGATGTGGCCAAGGATCTGAACTTGCACATCAATTTTTTGTGAAAGTCTTCAACTTCTCCCTCCGTGCCTTTTTATTCTTCCGAAATCTGTCCAGCTGTGTCAGATGCAGATATTAGGTTGCAAGAATTCAAACTCTCAACACACTGATGCCAGGACTTCTGATATATATTATCTTATGAATAATGTCCATACCTCGAGTCAGCGAAAGAATTTTTTTGTTTAACTATTTGCATATCTGAAGAAATGCGCTGAACATAACTTGTGTGTTTAATTTTTTCTACCCTTGTTGCTTAATCACCTCTTGAACCGATAGCTGTTTTAACAGTTGCCCTTGAGATGGGCACAGAAATTCATATACTCGTAGGTCTTCATGTATATTGTCTGTTATTTTCTGTTGTATTTCAACCAAAGTTGTTGAATGTCAGCATTTATTGAAAATATTATACATCAAACCAATACAAGGTCATTCACAGATAGACATGACCTTCATGTAAGTCACCTAAACAGTGTAACGACATAACCATGCATTCAGAATCAGACGAATTCTCAGGCCTGTACAACTGCCACCCTTATTATTCTTGCACCATGAATGTATTTCCTGGCATGTTTGATATGTGGTATATTTCATGAAATAAAAGAAAGATGAAGTTGCCATGTGCTTAATTAAGCACCTCACCAAGTAGACAGTAAAAAGAATATGTGTATATTTCCACGCATTCTTAACAGCGACAGTACATATGGAAGCATGTTCAACTTCACCCCTATGGAAAGAGCTCCCCAATAAACAGAAAGCCCAACTGGACATGTGGAAAAGAGAATACCGTCTGATCCTGTCAGGAATCAAACCCTGATTCCTTGGTCATCCAGCCCCTAACCCAGTCGCCACAATGGCTGAGCTATCCCTGCTCCGATATATATGAAAGGAGAATGAAACTAATGTCCAACTAGAAGAAATGCCATCTGTGTAGCAAAGGGTGGACATGATTTTCTTTACTAGCCTGAAGGTCTCGGGTTCCAAGTCCTGATGAGGTCATTGGATTTTTTCAATTTACCTAATCCTTCCAGCCGCACTATGGCCCTGGGGTTCACTCGGCCTCTAACACAAATGAGTACCAGGAATTAAATAAGTTTCCCGGGTAGTCGAGCACGACCGGTGCGTAAGGCTGACAACCTTACCGCCATCTTTGAGCCGATTGTCTAGATAATGTGGGACCCTCAACGTCTCACAACCCTATGGACCTTCACGGCCTGGTACAGGGATAGCTTTACTTTTACTTTTCTTACTTACAAGTAAATGAGAGTATATGACCACCCTGGCCCTATAATAAATAAACATGGAAAACAGTGACTTATCAGTAATCTCAACAGGTGCACAAGGCGACTAGTCATATTATGAATGGTTCAATGAAAGAGCTGGTAGCAAATGTAGGAGGGTGTTTGGAACTGAATATGTCATTTCTACTCCCTGTAATATGCGAGTCCATACATTCTGATCACCAAGCACATGCTGAACCATTTTCTGAAATCGCATAACACCTTGTAGCCTCCTGCCAACTCTATGAATGAGGCTACGTCATACCTTGTATAGGCAAACTTGAGGGAGAGAATTTCGTGCTTGAGTAGGTCTGGAAATCCAACTGATGTATGAATAAATGAAGTAAGTTACATAGAATTCAGCAGCTTTTTAATGATGCCATAATGGTCTATGTCACATGATGATGATGATGATGATGATGATGCTACCTTGTTCCTATAGTAGACAGAGCCTATGTTGATCTCCATGCTGCTGTGCTTTCCCCTTCGCCTTAATTGCCTGCACTGCACTTTCATTGTCTGAACATTCTGTTCAGAAGAATGCTAGCGGAGATAACACTACAATGACTTTCACTAGCCACAAGATCCTTTTGTTGATATAAGCCACAGGGTGATAGAGGGGAATATAACAGTGGGATAAAGGGGGAAGATCTGAGCGCTGTCAAAGAGGAGGCCCCATTTCAAAACACGTAAGAGAGTCTTGGAACAGAAAAGTCATGAGTCACGACGGGTCCCGAAACTAAGAATAATTCTCTTGGCGAGGGTCAGCAGCAGATTACTTCACCTCACTGCACTGCAGTTATCCCTACCATCCATGGAACTTTTTTCTGTAGTACCAGTTAAGATGTTCTTACACCAACCCTTGCAACCTCATAGAATTTGACTTGTTTTACAAGTGTTTCCTTTCATGATTTTCAGACTCGGTAATATGTGGCATTCCTTGACATCGGAAGAAAAACAGAAATACTTTGACCTGGGGCGACTCACAGCCCAAGAACACGGCCAAAGATACCCTGGTAAGTGATTTGCTTCAGTATTCTGTAAATGTCGTCATGTGTAATATAAACTTTCATCCTCTTAAATTCCTCTGCTTTCTCCTGTATTCATTTCTTGGCCTATATCGTAGAAGGGTGTATCGAGGCCAACTTTTAATGCCATGAACTGTTAACCTCAAGTTTTGTCGTCATTTATAAGTATAGTACCTGCAAATTTTCCTTGCATTTCTCTTGGAAAGCACAAATTATACAAGACATAAAGAAGTGACTTGCACGGTGAATCTTGAAATTTCTGCCCCTGAGATTTTTCGGCAGTTACTTGCTGATGAATTTAATTACGATTTATATTGCAGATGGTTACTTTGTTATGATTAATACTTATCATTGTCTTTGTTGAGATTTTATGTAGCGTGATCAAATCAAGGACGATGAGATAGGAAGGGCTTGTAGCGCACAGGAGGGGGGAAAGAGGAGTCAATCTAGGATTTGTTGGGAAAGCCAGAAGGGAAAAGACCTCTAGGAAGACGTCAATATATGTGGGAGGATAATATTTAAATGAATCTTTGGGAGATAGGATGAAGTGGTATGGACTGGTCCGATATGGGTCAGAATAGGGCAGATGAAAGGCTCTTGTGAACACCGTATTGAATGTTTGGGTTCCATGAAATGTTTGGAAATTCTGGAGTAGGTGAGTGACTGGCCACTTGCCAAGAAGGACTTGGCTCCAATTCCAGGATACTCGATCATCAGGTCGAGATTCAAAGCACAATAACAAGTGATATTGATTAACAGTTTTGATATCAGGCGGCAGCATATAACACTGCAAAGCAGATTTCTAACTTGAAGATACATGAATCAGTTTGAGGTAATATAACCCCTATGCAACGCTGTGGACTCTGGCCACACTGTCGTAAACACATGAGAGGTCTCAGAGTGCTTAAAGTAAGTGTTACGATGCAGTAAATGTTTGTGATGACCGCTAATTCATTATATCACGGCTCTATTAGATGTTGTCCATTCGGATATATGAACCTGACATGCTGGGAGTTTCCCGTACTCCCATTTTCAGGAAATTGTCATTATAGGCCTACTGGCATGTTCGTTATCAGTCCAGTTTCTTTTCTTGGGGAAAAAGGAGGTCTGTCATATCTCCATGCTGTGTGTGTGTGTGTCCATTTCGAGCACTGAACCAGTCACGTGGCACACGAGAGAGATGAGAAATGTGAACAGAATTTTAATTGTGAAACGTAAAGCAGAGAGACAGGCTCTGTGAAGGCTTTAATGAATTCTTGGCCTCATGAGATGTGGGGAATATTTTGGCTAGCTGATTTACTACCCACTTCTCAAGAAGGACTCTTCCGTGCCATAGTGGAGACATTTGTTGTCTTCATAACTTGTGACCCAGGTTCAATCCAGGATCAGGTGACGTGGGATTTGTGGTGGACAGCGTGGTACTGGGGC